TCGCGTCTTGATATTTCCTCTTTTTAGATTATGAAAAAAAAAATTATAAGGAAATTGTCAACGAGTCAATTTTGTGTACCTAACTAATTTTATGTGTATATATGTATGTGTGGTTTAATAAAGTTTACGGTGTTCATGTTCTTTAACAGAAAATAAAATCCCATCGATTACGTGAATTAATCAACAACTATGCGTTTTTTTTTAAATTGTGCTGTTTTTTGGAAAAAATTTGTGCTTTATATATATATTTATTTCATACTCTTAATTCTCGTTTGTTGTTTGATGGTATATATGTAGTGGTTGTTTTGTGCATATACACAATTATTGATATAGACATATTCATTTAGTTGAACAAAAAAAAAAGACATATTCATTTCATATCTTCATTAATATGTTCCATGGTTAATCGAATTATTAATAGAAACAACCACTACACACATATTTTCATTAATATGTTCCATGAATAATCGAATTATTAATCGAATTAATTTAACGCATATGGGCAGGAAAAACATTAACAAAAACTAAAAATCTTAACCAAATTTTCACCTCCTCCTTCTTGGAGCAAGCAATCAAGCACAATGAATGTAAATTGTTGCTTGGTTACACCTGCTTGGACCTTATGACAAACACAAATTAGAAATTAGAGATATATAGAAGAAAACTGAAAAACAACAAAAAATAGATAGTATAAATGTCTCTTTACATAACAAAATCTATGCGGATTGCAGGCAGATACGGCCACAAGATGCTCTATGAACGGGATAGTATTTCCAAGTTCGTAGATGAAAAAGTTTCCCTCTTGCGATAATTATAATACATATAAAAATCATCTACAAAAATCAATGTAAATAACTTTAAAAATTAATTTTAAGAACTTTCATTGAATCTATGTTCAGAGGCAAGCCAAAAATTTGCATTGAAATTGTTTAATTGCATGCTCAAAATGATGGTCCCAATCTTTAACAATATCAATCTATAAGTTGTGTGGATCTTCTTTATCATTTTGTTTTACACTATCATACTTTTTAGAGATGAAAAAAAAAAAAGTATGTTACGTGATTAATCAACAACTGTGCGTTTTTTTGAAAAAAGTTGTGCAATTTTTTTGAAAAACTTGTACTTTATATATATTTTTGTGCATATACACAATTGTTGATATAGACATATTCATTTCATATTTTCATTAATATGTTCCATGGTTAATGATTCGAAATATTAATCAACACATTAGCAAAAAGAATAAATATTACCTTTAGAAACAGTTTTTCTTGATCTGCTCCTTATGGAAAAGATCCATCTTACCACTTCTAAGTTACGACATGTAACGATCTTTCATTTGGATGATTTTATCATATACATCTTTTTAACTTGTGCTTTCTGAGTATTTGTTAAGGTGGTGTTTGATTATGTGTGATATATACTCTTTGAATCAATGAAATGGAACTTCGTTTGGGTGTATATATAGATATTTATTAACAATATTGAATATAGTTACAATATTTAATATAGCTAACTATATATATTCGTTAATTTAATATAGCTAACTATATGCAATTTATTAAATATATTCATCAAATTAAATAACCATTTTTTAATTTATTTTACCACAAATGAAGTGTAAATATCATAATCTTTTTTAATATATATACATCACTCTTTTACAGTTTGAGCAACATTAAATTTGTGTGTTTTAACCAAGCCAAGAATTTTTTCATTCATTTCATATAACATTGTTATTCCATGAATCCATAGAAGAACAATCTTGTGTGTTATTTTTATATTGTTGTTTGGTTTCGCAACAAATTCCATTCCAAAACAATCGTCTTTTTTCATCGGATGCATGTATGATCTTACAATATGTGGAAAGCTAGCAACAAAGCACACGAAGATGTAGGGATTGTTTTCTTCCATAAGAACAAATTTTTGTTAATGTTCGTTTTTGTTTC